TATTTATCCAGAATATATATATGATTATTTCAAGTTGATATATCTTTGTATATAGCACCAACTACAGTTTCCTTACGAAGTATAGTACACTGTCTGAAATTCATTGAAACAAATTCTCATTTTAAGTTTGAAAATATAAAATACAAAATAATTAATACAAATTAATAATCTGCTCACCTGTTTTCATTTTGAAGTGATATGATTGGTGATCCAGATTTAGGTTCCAATTTTGCAACTAAATCCGCTATAGCCACTATCAGTCCAGCACTGTCACTTGATGCATCGCCTTTAACTAAAAAAGTTCATTTACAATTTTGTGCTATTTTTATTATATGTGAACTTTATGCTTGGAATTTTGTTATAATGCTCAAGCTTTATACCAAGCTATTTATACCAGTGACAATTACCTCCTAAACAAAGACCAGCGTGATCAGCCAAGATGCAACCAATAATATTTTCCTTATCGTATCTGTAGAATATAATTTATTCACATACAAGATTGAACTATAAACTAAAATATAATGTGCATAGAAAGTACATATACTGTATTAAATGATATTAAATATTTATTTGCAATAAAATAATATGTCAAATCCGAAAACTAATAGCGAATTCCATTCACTGCACTGGGGGGTTAGTCATATTAAATGCTGATATACATAAAATTATTGAAATGTAAAAATAACATAAACAACTTCAAAATGATTATACAGTCAACAATTTGTCATCATTTAGCTGAATATGAATTAATAAGAAATAAATACCATTAATAATTTCATTATTATAAGGAAGTGATATTATGCTACATTTAAATTATTTACAAAACAGTCTTTAATGTGCACTAACCCGGTGTAGTGTAGTGAATGGAATTCGACTATAAAAAAACTCGTAAAAAAAAGTAACCTGATGGGCATCGCATACTTACGTATCATCCAGAGTTTTCACCAAATTTCGTTCCATCTTCGACTCTCACGAATGACACTCGTGAATCGATCAACGAAATTCGTAGCCAGTAGTTTTCGTAAAAAATCACGACGTTCCGTTAGAGGAAGAGGCCAGGCGGTCGTGTTATCATGTGAAATCTAACTCAATGTTTACGTCGCTTATGACAGTTGCAAAAGTGTGCAATCGCACGCACAGCGCGCACGCGTGCCACGTGATCGCTTCCATGTACCGAGCGGTGCCTAACGAAGCTCATCACGCGATAATTGAACTTTGCCCTTCTTTCGTCGCATAATTGTATCGCGCGATGTGAATTATGTATCGAATTAATTTGGAGAGGGGAGGGACGCCGTATTACGCAACAAATTTCGTTTCATCACAATTTGTTTCACTTTGTTTTATCTTACTTTCGACTACGCCGCGCTCGGCGACGAAGAGATTCGAGAGATTGTATACAATTTATAATATCCGCGGAATCGCTTCAAATTGCGTTTACGTAACGTACGTTATAGCTACGTCGTGGCGAAACATTATCGCGAGAAAATTGTATTGTGAACGATTCCGTTTCCAACATTTCGCGAAGGTGTTTCTAGGACACTCGGTATAACTTCGCTATATACGTATCGCACGACGGGGCCGACGTGACTTGTTCAGTGACAATCATGGCTGGTAAGTAGAGAGGTGTATACTTATTTGTCGCTGTTATTTCGTTGAAAAATGAGATGTAAACAATTGACAACGGATTTGTCATCGCAGTTTTGTTACATCGTATCGATTTTTCGTAGAAAAATTATTAATTTGAATTTTTTCGTTAATAATATCCGAATTTAATGAAATTTAAATTTATGAATATTCTGAGTATGGATGGAATTTGCAATATATAGAAAATATAACATTTAAAATTTTTAAAAATTTAATTTTAAACATTATATATTTCATATAAATATAAAGGTGAAAAATATTATGAGTCGTAAAAATATTATGAATTTTTAAACACACTATGTAGATTTACATATTAGTTTAACTGACAATAAAGATTGCAACAAAGAGAAATTGCAGGAAAGATAGATTTCAAAATTTGAAGTGTTTATTTAATAAATTACAATCTTTCATAAATATTTATGTGATATTTTTATACATTTTGTAATTACAACGGGAAATGCAATAATTAAATTTGAAAGAAAATATGAATTATTTAATTCTGATTTTTTTATAAAAATGTAATAATCTTCTATTTTAGTAATAACATAATAAAAGTATAGAGATTATATAATCTATTTTGTTATATGCATATATATTTTACAAAATTTATGAAAAATTATATAATTTTCTGTTATTTTAGAGATAAATCCATATAAACATCTATTAAAACCCCTCAAAATTGGATTGAAGGAGTGTCAATATTATGATATTGGCAGTTTTGGCATAAAATATGGTAAATTAAATTTTTTGTTTATTATATTTATTTAATAAATACTTATAATATTTATATATACATATTTTTATTTTTATTTTGTAGACAGGCTTCCATTTTCTATTCGAGTTCTCTTGGAAAGTGCTGTGCGTAATTGTGACAATTTCCAAGTAACAAAGAATGATGTTGAGAAAATTTTGGATTGGGAGAATAATCAGACTATTCAAGATGGAGTTGAAGTGGCTTTTAAGCCAGCACGAGTTATATTGCAGGTAAAGAAGTCTTTCAAAATTTTTATATATTAATTATGTATAAGGTGTACTTATTGTACATTTCTTTTATTACAAACAGGATTTTACTGGAGTACCAGCAGTTGTGGATTTTGCTGCGATGAGAGATGCTGTAAAGAGACTCGGTGGTGATCCTAATAAGATTAATCCAGTTTGTCCATCAGATCTTGTAATTGATCATTCAATACAAGTCGATTTTACAAGAAGGTATGATTTACTGTTTTATCAAACATGTTTTGATTTTTAATAATAATTGGGAGTTAAAAATTATCAACTCAACAAAATGTAAACTCGAATAATATTGCTGCAATGTATAATAAAAGAAAAAAGAAGTTTTATATGATAAAAGCTTGAGTTATACATAATACGAAAAGAGATACAAATAAAATGTAAGAATCTTGTTTCAAATTTTGTATCAAATCACTAAAAAATCTGTTTTAAATCAATCTGATAAATTATTATGCATATTTCAGCAATGATGCTATAAAGAAGAACGAAGAGCTTGAATTTGAAAGAAACAAGGAACGTTTTATGTTTCTCAAATGGGGTGCAAAGGCATTTCAGAATATGTTAATTGTACCTCCTGGAAGCGGTATCGTTCATCAAGTGAATTTAGAATATCTGGCTAGAGTAGTATTTGATTCCAACAATCTTCTGTATCCTGATAGCGTAGTTGGTACTGATTCTCACACTACTATGGTCAATGGTTTGGGTGTCCTTGGATGGGGAGTCGGTGGTATTGAAGCAGAGGCCGTTATGCTTGGTCAGGCAATTTCTATGTTAATACCAAAAGTCGTGGGATATAAATTGGAAGGTGTATTGAGTCAATACGCTACATCCACTGATCTTGTTCTTACTATTACAAAGGTAAAGCTTTCTCTTTTCATTTGCACGATATAAAAAGTAGAACTTTTTTGAGATCTCATTATATAATTGTATTCTTTTATAATTTAATAAATTCTTAAATCTTCATAACCTTATTTATTTTTTTCAATAAAAAAAAGTTTATATAACCTGAATATTTTTAACATTTTATATTTTATACTTGGTTTTTCTAAATATAAACAATTACAAACTTAAATATTATATATTTAATATTCTACGCATGTGTAGAATCTTCGACAAATTGGAGTAGTTGGAAAATTTGTCGAATTCTTTGGACCAGGCGTTACACAGTTAAGCATCGCAGATCGTGCTACTATTTCTAATATGTGTCCGGAATATGGCGCAACCGTTGGCTTTTTCGCAGTAGATCAACAAAGTTTAGCATATCTCAAGCAGACAGGTAAGCAATTTTCTATCTTCTGTTTTCAATGATTATGTTATAAATATATGATATAATATATAATTATTTTTATAATTTAATATTCACAATGTATAAAATTTTTTTTGTTAAAAGAAAAATATCTAAATAAATATCTACGTTATAATATGTGAATACTTCTACTGAATATTTTAATATTTACAATATATAAAATTTTTCTTCTATTCCAGGTCGATCCGAAGAACATATTGATAGGATTGAGAAGTATCTTAAAAGTGTACGTATGCTGAGGAATTATGATGATCCGAATCAAGATCCAGTCTTCTCCGAGATGGTCACTTTAGATTTGAGCACTGTAGTTTCGAGTGTTAGCGGACCCAAAAGACCTCACGATAGAGTTTCAGTATCCGATATGCAAATAGATTTCAGAAATTGTCTTGTAAACAAGGTAGGTAATTCTTAATATATTACGCCCGCGAGAAAATCTATTTTATCTGATATATTTTGTTATTTAATAATAGTAACTGTATCGATGAGTGTATATACATTTATAACAATATGACAAATCTGCTAATACGAGTGCTTTAGAAAAGATGGTTATTTGATACATACACGGGACGATTACTACCCAGTGACTACAAAATATCAAGTCATACTGGGTAATATTCATCTCATGCTGTATCTTTGTTCTGTCGGTTCAGTTAAATTGATGCACAACATTTTCTTGCTAGAAAGAAAAGGATATATGAGCATAAATTATCAACAGAGACCTAGGTAACTTTCTACTGTGATACGATTATCTTAACGTATCACAATAAAAGTTCCTTTGAACTCTGCGACTGAAAATTTATTTTACGCTACAGTATTATATGAATTTAATGTAAAAGCGTTTGTTTCGAGAAAGCATTAATGATTTTGTACATCAGTTTATAATAGAGACACTGATATATTAACGTCGCAGTAAAACAAACTTGGATATATATATATATATATATATATATATATATATATATATATATATATATATTATTTCACATGAATTAATGTTAGCATTAAATTTCTATGAAATTTTTACGAAAAGCGTGTCCATTACTGTTGATATCGTCGACGATGTCCCATGTTGCTATGTCTCGAACATTTTCCTTTGCTGATCTAGCTTTATGATATCTTGATTCGGCATATAGTTAGATCACCAAAGAAAAACGAACGAGACATTAAATGATTCTTCAGGATGTTATTTCTGGCCATTAGTGATGAGTATATGATCTAGTCACAAATTTTCACTTGTGTGAACCGGTCATATGCTCGTCTCTAATAACTAGTATATTTCAAAGAGCGATGTACATACGAATCTAAACGTTGAACAGGGATTTAATATTAGATACAATCGTCACCCGGTGAAGTTTTTGCTACATCCTTACCGAATATGATTGTATCCAACAATATAATCCTCTATGCAATACTGATTTATTGATCAGATTCACGAAATCTTCTTAATGTTCTTCTTGAATATTTGAAAAAATATCCGAAACTATGCCGAAGCTATAAATAGATAACATAAAATTATATATTAATCATAATATACTCACAATAATTATTCGTTGAAAACATCTTCAGTAGTCGTGGAAATTTCTTTGTTTTTAGAAACACAAAATACCGATATAAATTGAATGAAAAGAATCGCACCAATTTATATTCGAGAAAATTCGTCGATAGTCATAGATTTGACTTATTGCGTGCCAGCAGTAAGTGATCTTTCGTACTATTGAATTGCTAACATGTGACTCGACCCTTTTATAGGGACCATCATCCCTACTCCTGCTCCCCTCTATATCTTCCAATGAGCGTTTGTCTAATTTTTAATATCAAATTTTTTAAATAAGAAATTTTTAAAATATTGGAAATTATAATCTTCTAGCAAAGTCGAAAATAATATCTCACGATTTTCACAATGTATATTGGATCACTATTGAATATGTTCTTAAAATAAATAATGGAACTGCAAAAATTTTCAGCAAACAAGCGAAAAACATACGTATAATATGTTTATCACGCGAATATTATATTTTAATTCACAATTACATTGAGAAAGTCGCGATCTTAATCTGGTGAACGAATCACGGCGAATGATCACTTAACGAATGGAAACAATACATGTTTAAGAACGTACTGATCGATTTCTATTCGAAATGTTCAACATTGGTGTCGCGTTACCTAGCCTATGACAGGTACAAGGACATTTGCCGAAGAAATTCATCCACGTGAGTCATAAAGCTGACTTTTCTTCCGCGTGAAATTTAATTCCTCTTTGTAGTCAGATTTAACGATCGAAAACGTTTGGGGTTGACATTGAAGATCGATAAAAAATATATTATTGTTCTTTTAACAAATATCAAGATATATTAATATAAATCATAAATATTTTATACATGTATATTTTATAAATACATGTTAAATTATAATAGAAGTTTTTGTAACTAATTTAGAATTGATTTTTCTGTATATAAATTTCGAATTATATCAAATTTAGAAATTTACAAAGCATAATTTATACATCTTCGACAAGAGTATCTTCAACATAATTGAGTTCAAACATTCAAATAATATTATTTTATTTGTTCATATTGGTTTAATCACTTTCTTTTAACCGCTTAAATTTTATTTTTTGTATAATTTTAAAACATATTTTAAAATATTTGTAACAATTTAGAAATATATCATTATATGCTCATTACGTATTCATTTTCGGCATTTATATGAGAGATTAGGAGTTAATTTAATTGTTATCAATCGCGTTATCTTTTTTTTTTATAAAATAGTAATTTATCTAGAAAATACAATTTATCTTAAATTAACAAAATTAACAAGCATTCGATTACTCATAGATTCCATCTACTAAGCATCATAAAGAACTTTCTATGATAGGTTTTTCTATGTAAATATATAAATACAGTCACGTTTTAAATCACCTTACCGCTTAAAATTTTTGATATTTATAATATAAATTGTTGAACTGTTGATTTCTAGTGCACAATATTTTTTTTCATTCTTCAAAACATGGAAAAATGCAAGTGAAGCACTTAACGATTTATGAAGAAAAATATAATTATATGCACGTACTATTAATCGATCAATCCGTCCGCCTTGTTGGAGAAGACAAGAGTCTTTGGTCGTACTTCGCATAAGTTCTAGGGAAGACGTATTCAGAGCTCGCGTTGAAATTGCTGATACAACATCCTACTACATTCGTTTTGCAAAGCTCACACATTTCATTGCAAACGAGCCATCGTTTGTCGTGCATACTGGTATATAGAAAGAGCTCGGGTTTCTCATCAAGGTACCTAGGATCTGGTTTGAAAAGGGATATGTTTATGGAAAATGCTAGAGAATTTTGTTTAAAAGAAAGATTTTATGATTTAAAGAATATTGTTGTAAGTAGTTTATTATATTATGTTATGAATATAAATCTCGTAATCTATAATCTATAAGTTGCAACTTTTTTTCGAAATACTCGTGGACAAAAGGCAGATGTCGTTGAAATAAATAAAAATTTGGTAATGTAAAAAGAAGACAATTCTCTTTGTATTTCCATAAAATCATTATCTATTATTATTGAATCTTCTTTCATAGAATAAAGAAAATATTTTCCTTATCAAAACTTGTAAAACTGAAAACAATACTGCAGCACTCTTTAGTCTAGTCTAGCAATAAATTGTTAAAAATTATAAAAACATAAATCCAACTATTAGCGCTATTTTCAAAATTTGTAATTTTTTATTTTAAATATTTGATTATTTTTTAAATTTACATATCTTATTAAACATGAAAAGATATATTTTCAAGATATTTCTACAAAAATAGTATTAAACAATTAATATTATCCATAAAGATACGAATAAATATCATTATTGCTATTAAAATAAATAACATGTCATTACAGTTCATGGACATAGTATACATGGACTCCAAACGTCCTTTGTTCTGCCGACTAATATCAAAATATATTAATATAAATCATAAATATTTTATACATATATATTTTATAAATACATGTTAAATTATAATAGAAGTTTTCGTAACTAATTTAGAATTGATTTTTCTGTATATAAAGTTCGAATGAAGCCAACATCTAGAAAGACAGCGAGAATAGAGGGGTTGATTTTCTTACTGCACCATTTGTCCGCGCAGAAAGAAATAGAGAACTCGATATGTTGGCTTTACTTTTCTGATCATATGCGGAGTCCATGTATACTATGTTCATGTTTTATTCTTAGTTTTTATTTTATTTGTATCTTTATTAGCCTTATTTAAAATAATAATTTAGTACTGTATTATATTTCTTTGATATTTAATTGTGTGTGTGTGTGTGTGTGTGTGTGTGTGTGTGTGTGTGTGTGTGTGTGTGTGTGTGTGTGTGTGTGTGTGTGTGTGTGTGTGTGTGCATCATTGGTTGTCAACTTTTTTTTCCCATTATATTTTTCATTATAATGCTCGTCATTATTGGATTGAGCGTTGAGGTCGTAGACCTTCCGATTGCTTAAAAATCGTTGCGAGTCTGCTGCTTCTTCAGCAAATCATGTGTCGAGTAATGAATTTCATCATACTTTTTTACTCATTCGTTAACGTGCCAAATTTATGGAATAATAAATAACGCAAATAACTGGGAATAATAAATCACATAAAAAGAACCAATTCTTATCAGCAATTCTTGTAATTATTTACCAATTTTATCGTGGCTTTGCAGATGAAATGCTGTATTTTTCAAAGAAATCCTCGAACGAGTAATTTAACTCAAATTTGTAATTCAAATTAATTTATTTTTTTGTTTACTTTTAATGTGTTAAATTAGAGACAGATGTTTAAGTGATCTTTTTTAAAGATGAATATTTCTCTGAGTTTAAATATCATTAGTAGTGATTATCAATGAATATTTTAATAAGAATGAAATAAAGTCTGAAATCGCAGTTTTTTCTTTTTTAAGGATTGTATAAATCTAAATACATAGATAATACTTCGGTTAGTCATCGAAAACACATAAAATGAGTGATTTTTCTTTAATAGGTAGGCTTTAAAGGCTATGGTTTAACTCCGGCAAAAGTAGATACCATAGGCAAATTTAAATATGAGGATAAAGAATATGAATTGAAACATGGCTCAATAGTCATTGCAGCTATTACCAGCTGTACAAATACCAGCAATCCTAGTGTTATGCTTGGAGCAGGTATGTTATGAGTTTTGTAAGAAAAATCGATCTGTTATAACATACAATTATATACAATTATATATAATATTTAACATATTAACATTTTATAATCTAATATATTGATGCAAAAGATTTAAAAAGAACGCGGAGTCGAACCAGTCTATTTAAAGTTTAAAAATTTAAAAATCAAATTCTAAAAATTATTCATTTTTTTTATCTTTGCTGACGCATTATCATATAAGAAGTTTTCTTTTAATGATTTATTTTTTTGATATCTTAATACCATTGATATCTTAATAGAACTGATAAAATATAATATAATAAAATTACAATAAAAATAATGTTTTGAAATAATCTTTATTAAGAGAAGCATTAACATTTTATTTTGTTTATTTAGAAAAAAATTATTTCATTAGATTAGATTGTGATAAGTGAAATATAAGAAAAGAGAAAGGCAAACAACAAACATTGTCTTGTTATTTTTCACTATTAATATACACTTTTATTAATAACGACACTTTAATTACAAATGAATACATAATTCTGTAAGAATAAAAATTGTAAAAGTATAAAATATATTACTTTAATAGGTCTTCTTGCTAAAAAGGCAGTGGAAGCTGGTTTGAGCGTCCAACCATACATAAAAACATCATTGTCACCTGGTTCTGGAGTCGTTACTTATTATCTTGAGGAAAGTGGTGTAATTCCATATTTGACAAAGTTAGGATTTGATATCGTTGGTTACGGATGTATGACCTGTATTGGAAATAGCGGTCCACTTCCTGATATTATAGTCGAAACTATTGAAAAGGTGAAATAATCGAATCATGTCATTCTCGAATTTTATTTGTTATTTCCGCAACTTTTGTTAAACAAGAAATAATTCAATAAATTGTTGATTAATGGACAAAGTCGCGTTTAAAAAATTATCATTAAATTATATAAATTTTTATAAATTTATAATGATTGTAAATTGACCAATTAAGTGATCGTTGAATTAAACAATTTCTTCTTTTTATAAACTTTTTATTAATATCTTTGTATATAAAAGAACTATTGAAGAATTTATTGTTGAATATGTTTAGAATGAACTCGTCTGCTGTGGAGTTCTGTCAGGTAATAGAAACTTTGAAGGCAGAGTCCATCCGAATACACGAGCGAATTATTTAGCGTCTCCACTTTTGGTCATAGCCTATGCCATTGCTGGCACTGTAAACTTTGACTTTGAGAAACAGCCGCTGGGTAAATTTATATTTTGTTAAGTTTATAAAAATGCATAAAACATAATTTGTATAACGGTCCTGTTGTTATTTTCAAGGTTACAAAAATGATGGTACCCCGATATTTTTGCAAGACATCTGGCCAACCAGAACAGAAATTCAAACTGTTGAACAGAAATATGTCATCCCAGCCATGTTCAAAAAAGTCTATAGTAAAATTGAGCGTGGTAGCGATAATTGGGCGAATTTGGTAGCACCTGATGGCAAGTTATATCCATGGGATGCTAATTCTACATACATCAAGAACCCACCGTATTTCGATACTTTGCAAAAGGTCATTAAAATGATGAATCTATTGCACAACTAAATGCAATTACTGTCTGATCTTTTTTTAATACTTTAGAATATGAAAAATATTTAAATTTAACGTTTTTTAACTTCACTAGATATTACAAATGCGTGCTGCGCGCGCACTATTTATCATTCTCAACACAAGAGCAAAAATTAATATAATACTACTGTTACACTATAATAGTTTTAACTTCTTGATACATAATTGTCAAAACAATCCTCTATGAGATCAATACAATGATAGCTATTCACGAAGTTAGCGCAGTGAGAGAATCAATTAGCATCGCGGAAAAGCGTCAATAATAAACTTCGAGAAAATTTCGAGAGATGCGCGTATCGATGTCATGCCTTTTTTTTAGAAAGAGAATTTGAATATTTTAATTTTCATTCAGATACAACTAAAACTAAGTTATATTAATTATAATAATAGATTAAAAAGTCTTTGAATCTTTTTTAAAGATATTTTATGTAAAGAAGATGTATTTTTATTTCTATTTGTGTGAAAAGTAAAAATGATTTTACAGAAATTGTTTCCAATAAAATCGGTCACGAAAGCGCGAGTGCTTGTAAATCTTGGCGATTCCGTTACGACCGATCATATTAGCCCGGCAGGTAGTATCGCACGTAATTCGCCAGCGGCGAGATATCTAGCCAGTCGTGGGTGAGTTTGATGAATAAAGACATGCGAGATGGCAGACGAGAACTGGCTGAATTTTTCACAATAATGATCTTCATTTTCAGCTTGACGCCAAAAGATTTCAATTCTTATGGCTCACGTAGAGGAAACGACGCTGTGATGGCGCGAGGCACGTTTGCTAACATTCGTCTCGTAAATAAATTCATCGGTAAAGCAGGACCACGAACTATCTACATTCCAACTAATGAAGAGGTACATATATATCAATTTTTTCACTTTGTATATTGATTTCGCTATGTGTAACTTCTTAAATTTATAGCGCGATTCTGTAACTCTTAAGCATTTTTCCCATATATTATACCTGCGCAATGACGTTATAACGTAACGATAACGACACTGTCGTTAAGAGTTATAGAATCACGCTGTTAGCACAATATCCGTTTTATTGATCCACTTCGTCATAGATTCGTATGCATACGTTTTATATTTTTTTATATTATTTAAATATATGAAATAACCTATAAACTTTTTGAAAGATTGCTATCTGTAGTAGGAGGTATTTTTAAAATATATGTTAATAGAAAAGATATTAATAACAATTAATCGAATGTTATTTAGATGGATGTATTTGATGCGGCCGAAAAATACGCGAAAGATGGAACACCTCTCATTGCTCTGGTTGGCAAGGAATACGGATCTGGATCTTCCAGAGATTGGGCCGCTAAGGGACCGTATCTGCTCGGTATTCGAGCCGTTATAGCAGAATCGTATGAAAGAATACACAGGCAAATATTCTTCATATTATCATTTATTTTCAATGACATACAGTATTAAATTGTAAGATACATTTTTTTTAAGAAAAGAAATTTGAAAATAAATCCATTTAAAGTACATGATTTTAAATAAAAAGAATTATGAATTTTTATGGTACTTTTTTAAATAAAAAAATGTAATTTACAATTGGATTGATTTATTTAAAATGCACTTTTATATCATATAAAATTGATTTATTTGCAGGTCGAATCTTGTAGGTATGGGCATTGTTCCATTGCAATATCTTCCTGGAGAAAACGCAGAATCTTTAGGATTAACAGGTTACGAACAATACGACATCGCGATCCCTGTGAATTGTCAACCCGGAGAAAAAATCATTGTGAATACCGATAACGGCAAGAAATTCGAAGTTGTTGCACGGTTTGATACAGAAGTCGATTTAACCTACTTCAAACACGGTGGTATTCTTAATTACATGATTCGAACGATACTTTGATGAATCTAAAAAGAGAAATATATAAATAATCCTCTTAGAAGGTTACTTAATGAGATACTTAATATTGGTTTTGGGATATAAAATGTATCTCTTTTAAATAAGATTAAGTTTCAAATACATGGAAGAAATATAAAATAAGAATACATTTTGCGCTATAATAAATGCCTATTACTTATTTTATTCAAAAAGGATGAATGTGGCATTTTGTAATATTCGTGTAGAGCACATCATTGATTAATATATATATTTCATAATATCTCAAATTTTGATTATATCAATCTCTTTGCATTGCAATAATTTTACAACATAGTCGGAGATAATTTAAAATCAAAGATAGCGCAAACTTTGATTTAACAGACTCTGCTGCTATTGAAAAGATTTTTTTATTTATAATCGTATTATCACACACACGCGCACACACACTATATTTATATTCGCGCGCGCGCGCGCGCGTGTGTGTGTGTGTATGTGTGTGTAAGATAATATGATTATAAACTAGTATATATTGTATACGCACGTGCGTGTATGCGTGGTGTCGCGTGCGCGTGCGTGTTCGTGCGCGCGCGTATTATATATGTATACGTATGGGGAAAAACATCTTCACTTTTACGTACATCGCAATAATAATAAATTATTGCAATATTGTTGCAATACAATTAACTTTATTATTAATAATAATATTTCATATTAAATCATTCTTAATTATACGTCAATATTTCAAAGTATTTAAAAAACAAATTTTATGAACACATCATTTAGCTGGACTATGAAATAATAACATATAATTACGTATGCATGCGCGGTATATACATATATAATTGCAGTTTGTTTTCTTACGATTTATATTAAAAATATCACTCTTTTTATAAAATGCAGTTTTCTACAAAATTCCCACTATTCAATTCCTAGCATTTAATTTCTTCCATATTTTTTATGCTTTTCTGGATTACAAGTAATATTTATTAGAAGAGGAAGGTAAAAAACAAACTTTAAATCTATATATGGAAGAAGAAGAGATATCTTCTATATAAAAAAAGAAAGAAGAAGAAGTTGTGACGCGGTCACCTCGCTCGACGCTCAGATCGGCTCATCGGTGTTCGGGTTCGAGAGGAGGGGAGACTCAAGTGTACGCGAACACAAATGGCGGCGAAAAGATCGCTTATTGGTGGAAAGGTAGATATAGAGTAGTGCAGAGCCGGATGATGTCGCAGTGTCGCTGGTAGTATAGGCAGCAGATATCTTAATATGGCCGGCGGGAACAGTGTCGTCGTTCGTGCCTCCTGTGTGCGTATAGTCACCAGGCTAATAGGAGGAGAGGGTAATTATTCAACTTACTGGCGTTAAGAAAACTGAATAACACTTTATTGTCTTGAGGTGTCGTGCGATATTACAATATATGTAACAGCGGGTGCGAGATATCTTGCCCGAGAGCTGTACCAAGATTCTCTGTCTTCGAAACCAAAAAGGGGACGAAATCGCGCCAAAGCGTTCGTAAATTCGCTCTCTCTACGCCATAACGTACACAACTTATATAGAGAGGGATCGCTAACAGAAAAAGGACGCTGAGCCTACATACTCCTCCCCGAGTGACAACGTTACATAGTATAAAGGAAACTGATATATATATGTATGTAGCTAATATTAGTCGCTTAGAATGATATTTAACTTAGATTAATGTTAATGTCACTTACTGTCTAGGCTAAAACGAACGTTTTTTTTGCAAGGGTAGGTTTTTAACTCGGTATGTGGTGATTGTGTATGAGTTGGCGGATCTGTTTGTGACTTTTACGCTTGTTGGTCGGCTACATCATTAACGGGCGAGTCTGTGTCATCAAGCGCGAAGTACGCTGGCTTTAGTCTCTCTACTGATATATTGTTTGTCTTTCCTTTGATGTCTAAAGCGTATACTCGCTCTGAAACTCGCTGTACGACTCTATAAGGACCGGAGTATGGCCGTTCTAATGGCCGTTTGACCTCATTCCGAACAAAAACATGTGTGCATGAAGCCAAATCCTTAAAGTAGAAAACGCGTTTTTTGTACTTGTGTGTAATAGGCACTGGTTTACAGTCTCGCATGAATGTGCGGAAATCTTCTACGAATATTTGAGGATTCGGAGTAAAATCGCCTTCTGTTACAAATTCTCCGAGGATTCGCAATGTTGTTCCGTATAAAAATTCGGCTGGAGAGGCACCTGTGTCTAATTTGAGTACGCAATCCGAGTAGGACCGTAGACAGTACACCAATCCAATTCCGAGATCCGCGACACATGATTGCAGTTTTAAGGGTGCGATGCCACCGCTCAATCATTCCGTTGGCCGCGGGGTGGTACGCTGTTGTGCGAATTCTATTGCAACCGATCAACTGGAGGAGGGCTTTGAAAATTTGACTCTCAAATTGGCTACCCTGATCGGTAGTTAAAATCTTGGGGACGCCGTAGCGTGCTATCCAGTGATCGTAAAATGCACGGGTTACAGTCTGCGGGTAAAAGTTTAACGTGCCGAGATATTTTCGATTGTTCGCAGTCGGTGCAGTTTTTGGCCCAATTAGCAATGTCGCGATGCATGTGTGGCCAAACGTATCTTTGACGGATAGTTCGATCTGTGACTTTAGCACTAGGATGGTGCATGAAACATGTCAAATACTTTTTTGCGCAACGAAACCGGTATATAGGGTCTGAACGATTCGCCTGACATTTCGCAAAATATGCGTGCGTTATCCGAGCCGAATATAAGTTTTTAAATTTTAATGACGTAGTTGTCGACGTAAGCAGGCGCGGTAGTTCCGGATCGTTCTTCTGGAGTTCCACCAGTTCGAGTAATTCGATTTCACACGGTAAACGCAGCACTTGAATTCGTGACAAGCTGTCCGCTACTATATTTTCCTGGCCTGTAATGTGCGTAATGTCCGTAGTAAATTGCGAAATGAATGATAACTGGCGAAGCTGTCTTGGAGATGCTTTTTCCGATCGTTGATTAAATGCGTGCACGAGGGATTTATGATCCGTCAGGATTTTGAATTGTCGCCCTTCGAGGAAGTGACGGAAATGCTTAATGGCTTCGTAGATTGCGGTTAGTTCGCGGTCATAAGCACTATAATTTTTTTGAGCGGGCGTAAATTTTCGTGAAAAGAATGCTAGCGGTTTCCAACAATTTGAAAAACGCTGTTCAAGAGCTGCTCCCATTGCAAAATCGGAAGCATCGGCTACCAAACGCGTTTCGGCGCTAGGCGAAGGATGCGCCAGCAACGCGGCGTTAGATAAACTATCCTTGCATTTCACGAATGCGGTTTCCGCTTCGATGGTCCACCGAATAGCACGTTTATCATTTTTGCGCGAGCCTTCCAGGAATGTGTGCAGAGGTGCTTGAATACTCGCTGCGTTGCGCAGGTAACTGCGATAAAAGTTGAGAATACCGAGGAAACGGCGCAAGTCTGCGATTGATTGTGGTTTAGGGAACCTCTGTATTGCGCTGACCTTCTCTGTCGTAGGCTTGCAACCGGATTTATTAATGTGATGTCCCAAGAAAACTAATTCCTCAACGCCGATAACGCACTTGCTCAAGTTTAAAGATAGGCCATATTTCTTGAGTCTGGTAAGGACTGCGTAGATGATGTTTGTGTTCATCCACGGTCGTGGACGCGATTAAAATATCGTCAATGTATGAAAATGCGAAATCGAGATCTTTTAGTGCTTGGTGCAAGTAACGCTGAAACGTCTGTGCGGCGTTACGGAGTCCGAAAGTCATCACAGTAAATTCGTATAACCCGAACGGGGTGATCACCGCGGTTTTTGGTATATCCTCTTCCGCGATGGGTACTTAGTTGTATGCTTTGAATAAATCTAACGAAGAAAAAATGTTTTTTTTATGTAAGTTTGCTGAAAAGTCATGCGGTATGGGATATTTATCCGGGACTGTCATTGCGTTGAGACGACGGTAATCCCCACAGATCCTCCATTCGCCCGTTTTCTTCGGGACCATATAAATAGGGCTGGCCCATGCTAGAGGGTCTGCACAGACCGAATTGGACCATGCGTCCGAATTCCGCTTTGGCTACTTTTAATTTATCCGGCGGTAATCTTCGTGGGCGTTCAGCGACCGGGGGACCAGAAGTAACAATGTGATGATTCACCGCACGCGGCGAAAATGCGGGATTTTGTGCAATTCCCGTGACTTCAGGGAATTCCGCAAAAATGTGCGCAAATTTAGTTGAACGGTCAATGATGGAAATTTTTAACGCGGGTGTCGCTATAACCTTCCCTCTGACGGACAGAGTAGTATACTGATCGGTCAGTGTGCCTTCATGCAAATTAACTGTTAGGCGATAATGTTTTAAATAAATCGGCGCCTATTATGACGAAAGGTATATTCGCGACGCAAAAGTTCCACGTAATGGGTCTGCGAAGACCTAGATTAAGTGTTAGACATAGTTCACCGTAAGTATCGATGCGCGAGTTATTTGCGGAGTACAATTTTAAGGCGGCTGGAGTTCTCTTATTCGTGTAAGACACCGGATACACCGAAACTTCCGCGCCTGTATCCACAAGGAATTTTTTACCAGTGGTTCTGTCAAAAACGTGAAGACGATTCTCAGTGTTAATGCCTCCGCCGACCGTCTCTAATCGGGGAGGTTTTTTTAGTTTTCCTGCTTGCTGTTACTCCAAGAGCATGGTGACTGGCACCGGCGTGCCTTGTCACCGAATTTGCGGTGATAAATGCACTTTTTACCTGTGCTGTTAGCTCTATTACGTTTCTTTGCATTACGATACGACGGGCCGAGCGACTTGAAACGTGCGCGGGATTCCCTTTCGCGCAGTAGTGCATTCATGCCGTAAACTAATTGTTTTAAAACCGATATCTCGGATGCATCGTTGGCGCCGCCAACGGAGGACGATTGAGGGGTGCGGCGGGCCGATGTATCTCCTGGTCCCGAACTCGTCATCGCGGCTAACGAGTTATTCATTGTCATTGAATCCGCGATCTTGTCGGCTATCATCGCGAACTTGCCGAGGTCAGGCTCATCGATCGTTGCTAAAATTATACGGTAGTTTTCCGGCAGCTGTTCCATGAACAACGTTTTAAGGATGCTATCGGTGACTTGGTCTCCAGCCAAATTTTTAAGTTCTAATAAAAAATGAGTT